ATCTGTGGCCTGTGGTTCACAGTTAATTGGTATCTACCTATTTTAAGAATTTCATGTCATCCTACATCTTTAATTAACAAGCATGAAATTTTGGTTTTTCATTTTTACTTTGCAATATAGCACCACTTCTTTGCTCTACATTAGTCAACTGCCAAGCATCAAGCATCAATATTCGACAATGTCGTACATTATCATATACTAGCACTTTAGCACACGTTCAAGCTATAATTAGTTTGATTTATTTATTTATTTTAGAATTAAAAAATATATGAGTAGTTATGTATATAAAAATAGGACCCATTATATGATTTTGTTTTTAATTTTAAATTTTTTTAATATGAAAAAGTGTGAATTTATTATATTATCCTAATTTAATTAATAATTTCAATTTTTAATGTTTTCATTAACCAAATGCATTTTATGGTATTTTGAATGTTTTCACAATTATCTGTCTTTTGCTTTGTATATATAGATTTTATCAAATTTTTTGTCCATATTACTAGTCACCAAATATCACACGTGTGCAAATTAGTTTATTTATTTATTTATTTTTTACAACCTTTTCATTTTATTTTATATATATTAGTAATTTAATTTAAAATTAAGAAAGAGGAAACAAATCTAAGTAGGGGTGGGCATCAAAACTGGAATACCGAAACCATCCCGAAATCGTGCCAATCTCATGCCGTCCCATTTGATGTTGACGTGTAAACGAGATGATATCGTGTCATCCCGTTATTGTTTGGCACGACAACGATTCCAGATTTGCGATCCTGTTTGGGGTCATACTGGATCGAATAGTATAAATAATAATCCTAATTTAATTTCAGTTCCTCCACTCTCTCCCACAAACATTTCGACTTGAATATTGCAATTGCCTGTAGTTCTCTCTCAGGTTTACATATTTGCTAACGGTATATTTGAAAGAAACTGATATGCATTTGACCCAAACTCTCCTCTTTCTTTTTCTTTCTATTTTCTTCAATTACTTTCCCTTTTCCATTTACCAAAAGTAAATAAATAAATAAATTCTCTTTTAAATTTTTAATTTTATTTTTTTTTTTTTTTTTTATGACATTAATTGATACCAAATCATACCAGTCCCGTTTGGGTCCGATATGGTTTGAACGTGTTTTCAAAAACTCTCATCCTGTATCATCCCATCCCGATTCCCCTATCTAGGATTGACATCAGGATGGTGCCCAACCCACACATGTTCTCATTTTGTTTTGTTAATTTAAATTTTAAATATAAATATAGTTAATTCACTTTATTACCCTTATTTTATGAATACTAGCCTCCCTTCGATGTGTGCGGGAGATCTTTTTTCGATCACGTGCCCTTAAAATTGAAACCGAATTTCAAGGCCCATTGGACTTGAACGTCTTGGGTTTCCTAAAATTAAGTTCTATGAGACAACTTAAAGTATGCAGCCCAACCCAACAATCCCAATACATAGAGGTCTCGGTGGCCATAGTGGGTTATGGGTTTTGACCCAACTCATTACATGCCCACAGTTTTGCTCTGGCGGTTGAGATGGCGCAGATGCTCCCACACCACTTCTTATCACTCAAATTTGTTGATGACACATTCCTATGAAGGAATTTATTAAAGGGGCAGGGCATTCTCCACTATTAGTCCCCTGCGGCAAAATAATTTGTGTAAATAATACAAAAACAATAACAAGAGAAGAGCGGAGAGATGCGTATAAATTGCTTAAGAGTAGTGCCCAAAATTCCACCTTCAGCAAAGCACAAAATCATCATCTCACACTCATTCTCACACTCTCTCTTATTTACCAAAAGGTCCTCTAGAGCAATACACGCAGCAGCAGCATCTTCTTCAATGTCTTACGAAAAGGAACTCGCTGCTGCCAAAAAAGCTGCCTCTCTCGCTGCTCTCCTCTGCCAGGCAATACTCTCCTTCTCTCCCTCTCTTTTTGCTTGAGAACGAGCTTCTTTTTTTATTTATTTAAATTTTATATATAAAAGAATGAAAGGGTTAGTTGAGCAAAACCTAGAACAAAATTTGTCAATTGACGATGCGTGATAATGGAAATTGAGAGGAATTTAGAATGCAAAATATTTGTTTAGGACAAAACCCATGTCGTGAATCTGCCATTCTTTGTCTTTTATACAAATATGGACATCTAGTATAAGTATACAGTATACTCCTTATGTTGATGTCTATAGTTTGTTGCTATTATGAATTCAAGGTTGTAAACCATCTCCAAGAAAAGCTTCTTTCTCCAAAATAAATTTCTGCTCCCATGGCATGTGCAGAGTGTTTCTGTGCTCGCCTAGTGTGCTCTGTTCCTTGAAATACAATTTTTCACTGTTTAGGACTGGAAATCATTACTTTAGACTACTAGAGAAAATCCCTCAACCCTGATTATTCATTAAGCAAATCCCTCAACCCTGGTGGCCAATGTATGTGTTTATGTGTATGTGTGTGCGCACATATATGTTATGTGTATGAGTATGTGACTTGACTTTATACATAATAGAATTCTGGCGTGTACAAGATGAAAGGAACAAAAAAAGGTATCTTTAACATGAGCTTTATTTGACTGTAAGTGCCATAGATTAGTTTGTTTTTATAAGAAATTTCTGGACAGAAACATTTGTTTTTGAAAATCATATAAAGAGCGCATTGGGAAATATATACAATCCCATCATATAGTCCCTGGCATTTCTGGTGTCATATGATTTTTTTCTCTTTACATGATTTGTGAGTAAGCACTGAAATGATATATATATATATATATAATTTTTTTTTCATATGTATTAATTTTACCAATATATTTTGTCATCCCGATTCAATTTCAATTATTGCCTTCCTGTGCTTCAGAAGGTGCAAAAGGCACTGTTGCAGTCAGACGTTCATTCCAAATCAGATAAAAGTCCAGTCACTGTGGCAGATTATGGTTTGTTTTCAATCTCTTGTGTAAATGCGTTTCAATTATGTGCAAGTTATTCATGGGGTTTTTAAAATTAATCAGCCATCTTGACATTTAAACAGAAACTTCTATTTGTATCTGCAGATAGCTTAAAAGCTATCTTGTAACCCCACATTGTGATGTTCGCATGGCAGAATTATAATAACATGTAGAAACTATCTTGTAGGTCCAAATGCTTTTTGCATATGGTTTCTATTAGATTTTTTCAAAATAGAAAAAGAAAAAAAGAAACAGTGCTCATATTTGCTTGCATCTGCCATCTAGTTCATCGTATCATAGGCGAGGCAGTTGGTAATTCCCCTCCTTACTTCAGTGGCATGGTAATAGTTGTTTCCTGCCTTGTGTATAATGCTGGTGGGGCTGCATTTCTTTGACCATCATTTTAACCTGAGCTCAAATTTTATATCTGGTCAAGAACCATTAAACAAAAAACACAATGCTTTAGATGGCTATTTGAGGCCCATCTAGTTCATTGTATCATAGGCGAGGCAGTTGGTAATTCCCCTCCTTACTTCAGTGGCATGGTAATAGTTGTTTCCTGCCTTGTGTATAATGCTGGTGGGGCTGCATTTCTTTGACCATCATTTTAACCTGAGCTCAAATTTTATATCTGGTCAAGAACCATTAAACAAAAAACACAATGCTTTAGATGGCTATTTGAGGCCCTTAAACTGGATATGAACTTAAATATTTTAATAAATACCCGTGCCTTATACTTTCTTTATGGCCATGTAAGGATGATGGATTGCAGGTTATGCTTGCATAATTGGTTCTTTGGCTTGGGCCTTTCAATAGTGACCACTGACGTCTTTGCTTGAGCTTTCAGGCCTATAGTTTCATATGTCTAGATATTTAATAGATGATGAGAATAATTTTATGTTTGTTAAACTTGCATTGCCTCACACTATCTTCCTGTCTCATTAAATATTTCCCAAAAGTAGTTTCCAATGTAGCCACCAGCTGGTATGAAAGGAAGTTAAATGATTAGTGGTATGCTAGACATACATGTGCTTATATGAAATAAGAACGATAGATAAGTAAATGAAATGTTTGCAAATATGTAAATTAAATCTGTATCCTTTTTATTCACTGAAAAGAAACTCTATATACTTCTAAAATTTCTTAATCTGCCTTTCCATGGTTTGTATGCTGATGGAAGGTTGGTTTGATGTCATAGGAAAGACAAATGTTTTGTCATGCACTCCAGATTTAAAAATTATCAGGTTTCTTCCATCTTAGGAGGACCTTGTCCATAAATCTTCTACTGCACATGTGAATTGCTATATCATTATTGTAATATCTTCTTGGCTATGTCATAATTCCTAGTAGACAGACACTGTTGTTTCACAGTATGCTTTTATGCTATCCATTAATCTTCTGCAAATGGAGGATGTATGTTTCTATCAAAATCACTAGGTCCTTTAAGTGGATTGCACATGAGCCCCAGTATTTTGGTCTGCGCCTAACTATAAAAGCAGATAGGTGCAATTTTTATTCTGTGAAAAGAAAAAAATCATTGGACATATAATTGAAACTCTCACTGTAAATTTTCATAATTCTTATTATCCTTCGGGGGAGAGATAAGTGAAACTTTCACTGTCAACAATCATTTTCTTTCTATTTATACCAGCCCCTTGGGTTTATTTATTTATTTATAATTTTAGTAATTCAATTTAAAATTAAGAGAAAATGGTTCTAGTTGTGACCCATGCAAATAGGACCCATGTTCTCATTTCGTCCCTCTTTTTATACAATTTGTTTCTATTAAAAAAATGTTCTCATTTTGTTGTTTATTTTAAAATTTTAAAATATAAAGTATCAATTTACTATATTACCCTAATTTAATTAATATGTTCCTTTCTTAATATTTTCTTTAACTAAGGGCATTTTGTGTATTTTGAATGTTTTACCATTCTCTGCCTCTTCCTTTATATACATAGGGTTCAAATTCATGTTACATCAAGGACTGTAGTCACATTGTTTGTGATTTCTGTTCTTTTTTCACTTAACTAAGCATTTGGGTAATATGAAAGAAACTCTAATGACTGCTTTTCTTTCTCGGCTACTTTTGCCAGGTTCACAGGCTCTTGTTAGTTTGGTACTGGAAAGGGAACTTCCTTCTGAATCATTCTCTCTAGTGGCTGAGGAGGTGAATATGTACATTTTTGCAGAAAAAGAGACAGGCAGAAACTGTTTTATTTTCTTCCTTTAATTGTAAATCTTCTTTTCAACTTTTAAATTTCTTAGGACTCGGGAGATCTTCGTGGAAACAGTGGCCAGGAGACACTACAGCGCATCAGAACACTTGTTAATGATACTCTTGCAAACAATGAATATTCTAGTGTTTCTAATTTAACCACTGATGATGTTCTTAGGGCTATTGACAATGGGAAATCTGAAGGTGGTTCAAGGGGCCAGCACTGGGTTTTAGATCCCATAGATGGTACCAAAGGGTAAGTTTCTAGACACAATTGATAAGCTTCTATCATTAGTATTTGTTGAAGGTTGAGAAGAATGCTTCATTTACATATTTTGTGATTACCCCTGCTGAACAGCTCATGCTGTTATGTCTTGCATGTATGCCTGATGCATGTAACATGAATTGATGAGTGTAAATCTGATTCCAAAATATATTAGCCTTCTAGGGCTTAGATTTTGGACATTACATGTATGGAATTATCTCGAAACTATTAATCTTTTTTGTCAACTTGCCAAAGTTTCCGCTACCAATACACGACCATGCATTCATTTAAACTAAGCTGCAATCCTTCCCTTTGGAGTGGTACAGACTTGTGTATTTCATTGTAGAAGACATGGGTCTTTTCTATTAATTCGTCATTTCTCATATTCTTTGTACTTCAGCTTTTTTAGTGTTTCTGAAGCACTTTTGCTTTTTTTATGAGGTTATTTCTGCACAACTTTCGTACATTTTTCCCGTGCTCAAGTTTGAATTTGGAAAAATTAGGATGTGAAGCAAACTGTGAGTCAAAGATTATTTGAGTTCTATCACTAATGAAGTAAGTCACTGCACGGAAAAGTTTGATAATTTGTACAGTGTTGGAAAGAGAGAATTATCATCATTCATGCTTCAGTTTTATCAGAAAAATCGGGGTCGTCTATTTAGTTTATCATAGTTAGACAACTAAATGGTCTCAGATTTCATTGATTGTTTCCAAGGATAATACTCAAATAGAGACCTAACAAGTGGATGGTTTGGATCATTGGACTGCATTCAGGGTTGGGCCCAGATGTGATCCCATATATACTTTTTCATTTTTCTAGGAGTTCTTGTAATTTGCTGAAATTTTATTTGCTATGGTTCACCCGGTTTTATTACCTTACCTAACTATTAATTTATACTTTTTTTCTTCGATTCACTTGCTAGCCATGTATTCCATATTGATTTATGCTCTTAAGCCTGCCATGATAAATAGCTTATTGTGGTGTAGGTTTCTTAGAGGAGATCAATATGCCATAGCATTGGCATTGCTGGATGAAGGAAAAGTTGTGTTGGGTGTCCTGGCCTGTCCAAATCTTCCTCTGACATCCATTAGTGGTGAAAATCAGCAGTCTTCACAAGATAAAGTTGGCTGCCTTTTCTTTGCTACAGTTGGTACAGGAACATATATGCAGCCACTGGATGGTTCTTCCCTGCTAAAGGTTAGCACTTGTATAGGTAGTTCATTGCATTCTTTTTCTGAAAAGGTTTGACATAAGTAATATTATTTCTGTCCTTAAGGTACACGTCAGCGCTACTGAGAATCCTGAAGAAGCTTCAGTTTTTGAATCTTTTGAAGCAGCACACTCCTTGCATGACTTGTCTAGCACCATTGCTAAGGTACTGCTTTCTCTTTTCCTCTTTAACAGTTATTGCTGTGTTTGTTTATCTATTGAATTATTGTTAGTAAAAACATTATTAATGAACAGAAACTTGGCGTCAAAGCCCCGCCAGTTAGAATTGACAGCCAGGCAAAGTATGGGGCACTTTCCAGAGGAGATGGAGCGATATATCTTCGTTTCCCTCATAAAGGATATCGTGAGAAAATATGGGATCATGCTGCTGGGTGCATTGTCGTGACTGGTAAACTATTATTTCCAACAGTTATTTCTTCTCTTATCTCATCTCAATTGGTGGTGGTGTGGGAATGGTCTTTGACCAAGCTTTATAGCAACCTGTAGGCTGTGAACTCCGACTCCTACGATAGGGATGAAGTTTACAGGGATAGTGATGAGTATGAGTTCATAATGTTAACTTGGTGGATGAAGTTAAGATTACACATTCCCAGAGGAGGGTATGATTAGACATATCATTTGAAGCTCATAATTGGGGCTGGATAGGCAATCAGATAGAAACACTCTGTTAACACATTATAAATAGTATGGATTGAGTAGTTTATGCACACAAAGTGAAAATGATAAAGTTAGAAAATGGCATAAAAATGAAATAATTTTAGTTTATGTTTAATTTGCTAGTCGCACAAATAAGAGTCAGTTTCCATCATTTGGTCAATCCCAAAAATAATATAGAACCCCACATCGGCTATGAACCTAACAGAAGGGACATTTCTCAAAAGGGGATTCCATCCCTCCTGTCAAGCTATGTTGTCATCTTCCTCCAATTTCACTAAGTTGAAATCTTTCTTAAGCTTTGACAGCATCTCTTCCTGCTACAACTATGAGTCACAAAAAGGGGTCGGAGTAAAAGTGCCCCATCCTGGTGAATATTGATTTTGCAAAGAAATACCTTTCATATTTACATCATTTATTTTCATTAATGTAGTTTACAGTCTTATGGCAATTTGACAGACTTAGCCCTAGTGGCCTCCATGACATGGAATGGATCCATTACATAAAGCCCAAGTGTAATAAAGTCCTAGGAGTGTTTTTTAGTTATCATATCTAGGAGTTAACATATGCCAGAGAGAGAGAATAAATTGTTTTCACTTTTCTTGCATGCACAAGACAGATGCTACAGTTGATGGATGGTTACTTGAAATCTCCATGGATAGAAGATTAAGCCATAAATAAGTTTTCTTGTGTTGGATTCTGTTAGTTTTGTTGCGTGTGTTTAGTTCTGGAAAGAACTGATGGTTTATAAATATCTTCATTGATTGTATGGATTATCCAGACCCTTTACAATTGCATGAGTGAGCTTCCAAAATTATTCCTCTCTTGGGGAATCATTCTGAAACTCATACTTTTGTTATCCTTGTATTATAAGTGCAAAAGCTAATAATTCAAGAATATGTTGAGATGTTTACGGTGTTGGAGATTAAAGCAGTAATTTTTATTCTTGTTTTTTTTTCCTGCTTTTCTGATACCTTGTTTGCAATAAAAAATTGCAGAAGCTGGGGGTGTGGTGGCAGATGCTGCTGGGAACCCATTGGATTTTTCAAAAGGGAAATATCTTGATCTTGAAACAGGCATAATTGTTACCAATCAGAAATTGATGCCATTACTCTTGAAGGCAGCTAAAGAATCTCTGGAAGAGAGAGCTTCATCCTTGTGATTCTTTTTTGAGAGCGGGACTCGGATGTTTATATTATCACAGTTTCAGCCACAATAATGATTGGAGAGTCACCAAATAAATAACAGTTAATCTTTTTTTAAGATAATAATAATAATTATTATTATAATAGTTAATCCTAAAGGCGATTCCCTCTATCTAATCACGGCCCTTTTGCATTTGCATATTTGCTACAGATCCAATATGCATTTTCTATTTATTTATATTTTTATATATATTTTTTATAACATTTCTTATTGAGAGGCGATAATATACAAAATTTACACACAATATACGAATGCTAGGACTCGAACTCAAGACCTTGCTTGAGGGGGCAATTGCTCTAAATCACTACACTAGTGGGTCATTTCTAATTTATTTGCATATTTTTTCTAACTACGATGCCATACTATTAGTGTGATTTTGTTTGGGCCTAAATTCTGTGAAGCCCAGCCTATTTATGCAACCCACAAACATGAGCATAGCTTTGGGAGTGCTTCTATAGTGAGTGGAAAGTTATAAGGGGTTTTTTTGAGGGGTATGTAAGAGCCGTTGGATTTCATCCAACGGTGAGTTTTTAAAAGAGGGTGCATGTAGAACCGGGTTGAAATCTGACCCGTTTGGAGACCCAACTTCAGCTGAAGATTTTTCCCTCTCTGTGAAAAACTCAAGAACACAATCCTCTCTTTTTTAATGTAATGCAAATCCACAATTAGAAAGATCCAAAGCTCCCAAACTCTATAATCGCTCCATTGTCATCAGCTCCTTGGGAGGCCTGCGATCTATGGTATCCTCGGTATGATGATTAATGGCTTTTACCTAGCTATTGCCCTGTTTTGATTCTATGATTGAAGTGAAAACCCCTTCTCTTTTTCGTTCAGCAGAAGAGATTCCAGATGAAAGCAAAGTAGCATATCTCTTTTTCGTGCTGCTGCAGTTGTTCCTGGATTTTGGTAGAGATGGAGTCTCCACTACGAAAGAATCCTCTCTAATGTCCACCACATTCTTTGAAGCTGACTGAGTTCGGAGCTCCCGATTGACTTTGAGAGGTAAGTTCACTCTTGCTGGATTGATTTTGTTGGGTTTGATTTGTTTTTTGTGAGGGTGAGAAATTTGTCATTTGTGGCATCAATAATGCGTCATTTGCTCTGCTATCAATAATGCGTCATTTGACTTTGAGAGGTAAGTTCACTCTTGCTGGATTGATTTTGCTGGGTTTGATTTGTTTTTTGTGAGGGTGAGAAATTTGTCATTTGTGGCATCAATAATGCGTCATTTGCTCTGCTATCAATAATGCGTCATTTCCTTATGAATATTCAATATACTTAGTTGATTATTTTTGTTTGGAGGGGGATTGGAAAATTATGAAATGTAGGTAAAAGATCCTAAACTTAGGCTTAATGGCATTAGAAGTAAGCATTTGGAGAGGATATTGGGTGAAGTTCTGTAATTGCTGGTTTGAATTACATTTGAGTTCTTAGTTGAACATGTTGGTTCTAATGTTATTTTTTCCAGATTATTTCACAAGAGATGACGTAACTAGTATTAAATTTTGCTTGTGTTTTGTGTAATCAGAATCCAACAAGCTAGGCTATGCGTGTATTGTGTCAATTTGGGCAATGTTTTGTGTAAGTGGAATGCATTGCTAAGTTGTGATGCAGTAATGATTGATTAATGAATTAACATTTGCTATGCAGTAATATAGAAGTAGATCAATAATATACGTGGATAAAATGTCTGGGGGCTCAGAGAGTGATGACTTTGTAACAGCTAATGGGAGGGTTTACATTCCTGAAGTAAGAAATGAGGAAACACCAGCAGTTGGGATGAAGTTCGACTCGCTTGACCTCGTTTATAATTTCTATAATAGATATGCATTCTTGGCTGGCTTTGGTATTCGACTTCATTCCAGCTTTTGGGGGAAAAATAAGAAAGAGATTCTGAGAAAAGAATTTGTATGTTGCAAACAAGGTGCATACCGAATGATGAAACTCGGGAGAGAAAAAGACAGCGGGGAATAAGTAGATGCAATTGCAAAGCTAAGATTGTGGTTGTGAAGACACATGGGAGCAAGAAGTATACCATCTCTCTTTTTGCAGAGGGACACAATCATAAGATGACACCCTCAGGAAGAATGCATTTACTGAGATCACACCGTCGTATTTCAGATTCTACAAAAGTACTTACAAAACAGTTGGGTTCGGTTAATATTCCCATTAATCAGAAGGTAAGTATTTTCGAGGTGCAATCCGGAGGAATGGATAAAATCGGTTTTATGAAAAAGGATATGTACAATCTTGAATGTAGTGTGAATGAGAAGCTGAGGAACCACGATGTTGAACTAGTGACCGAGTATTTTATGGCTGAACAGAAAAAAAATGAGGCTTTTTATTTCAAGATTGAGGGAGATGGCGATAACAGGTTTAGTCGATGTTTTTGGGCAGATGCAACTTCTAGACGGGCGTACGGGTTTTATGGAGATGTTGTTGTATTCGATACCACATTCAACACGAATAGATACGACTTGACATTTGCACCAATGTTGGGAGTTAATAACCATGGTCAAACAATTGTCCTAGCATGCGCATTTTTGAGCAAGGAAACGACTGAGTCGTTTATTTGGATGTTTGAGGAGTTTAAGAAAGCCATGCCAGGTGGCGAACCTAAAACGATCATCACAGATCAAGATGCGGCAATGAGCAGAGCGATTTCAATAGCCTTCCCGACTACATTTCATCGACTTTGCATATGGCACATCACATCAAAGTTCTCTGTTAAGTTACCACATTCTGCTTATAAGGAGTATTGGGGTGAATTCCAGAAAGCCATATGGGATACTGACAATAAGGATGAGTTTGATGCAAAATGGAATATTGTGGTTACAAAGGCTGGTTTGACTGACCATCCATGGGTAAGTTCAATGTTTGATTTAAGGGAATCTTGGGTTCCAGCCTACGCACGACACTTTTTTGCCGCTGGAATGTCAAGCAGCCAAAGAGCTGAATGTTCTCATGGTTTCTTCAAGCAATACATATCAAGGAAAAATTCGTTGATGGATTTCATAATAAGATTTGAGAGGGCACTTTCTCATCAACGTCAAAAAGAGTTAGTTGCTGATCACGTAGATGCATTTGAAGTGGCTCAATGTATTCTACCGATGCCAATGAACAAACAAATGGCTACCTTGTACACAAGGACAATGTTTCAAAAGTTTGAGCAAGAACTAATACAAAGTACAGCATGTTTCCTAGAGCTGAAAACAGAGGATGCTTCTAAAGTTGTCTTTAATGTGAGCGAAAGGAAAAATTGGGAAACAAGAGTGGCAGAAGTCGTATATGTCAAAGATTCTGACCACGCATCGTGTAGCTGCAAAAGATTTGAATTTGTTGGAATTATTTGCAAGCACATCCTAGCATTGTTCAGAAGGGACCAGATTGAATATATGCCCGATAAATACATTTTGAAGAGGTGGAAGAAAACTGCGAAATTTGGATTGGTGTCAGATGCAAATGGCAACGAAATTAAAGACTCTGCAGATCCTGGTCTTTTAATAAAGCGGAGTACAATGTCCCGACTTGCTTCAGATGTGGTTGAGGATGCATTAATGTGTGAAGAAGGATGTGAGCTACTGTCAGAGACTCTAAAAAGTTTGCAGGTGAAGTTGAAGTTGTTGAAGGATGGACCAAGTAATAACGAAGTTGGAGGGTCCAGCTCTCAAACACAATATATGAAAGACCCTAAGAGAGTAAGGTGCAATGGAGGGTCGAAACGAGTAACGGGAGCAAAGGAAAAGGCAATGAAGCGAGGGATTAGACACTGTCGGGAGTGTGGACACATTGGTCATGATAGAAGACAATGCCCAAGAAATTTGAACACACCGTAAGATGTTAACACTATTTATAATAAGACCTAAAATTTGAATAGGTAAAGTTCTTATGTGCTTCTGTTTGATGTTTATGCAGGACATCACCGTCGAACAATGACGAATCAACTCCAATAGATCTTAGTGACCCATTATTTGACGAATTTTACAGGATGCACGGACCAACTCAATGATTTAGGTTTCTATTATACGAAGCCCGGTTATTATGAAGACTAATGATCAGGTGAAGTTTTCTAGGTGCAGTTTTATTATTATTATTTTTTTGTTCATGTCCACCGATGAGCTCTGACTATGTCCATTGATAATTGAAATGAAAATTTGCTTGGTTTCATTCTTGCATGAAATTTGGACACATGTTAATTTTACGTCTTCTCCCTATTTAGAAATTTTCATAGACATTAGATAAAGCATCAAATTTTGATTTATGTGAAGAAGCAATGACTTTTACCTTGTAAAATGGGTAGTTTATGGTGAATTATGTTTGAATAGAGATTTATTGATTATATGACAGGCTAATGCAGCATTTCCAGCAGCCAGCTATTGTTTCCATTACCAGTAATGATTTCCAGCAGCACGCATCATTTGTAGCAGCACCCACTTTTTGCGAATGTTATGTTCTAGTGTTTTACTGGTGATTAAGATCTGAGCTGGACTGGTTATTAGGTGCACGATTTTGCAAACATTCGTAGCTGAAGGATACTTGAAGCACTTTGTTGGAACAGAAAGATTAGAAAGCAACGTGTAAAAAAGTACATTGCAGCTAATCACATTTCGAATGGTTGGGTAATATTAAAGGGTACACTAACATTTGAACTACTCATAATTCCACACACAAAAGAAAATTTGATTGCAAAGCATTTTATGTGCTCCCTCTTAGCAATAGCACGATCTCCCCAATAAACTGAACAACGGTAGCCACAATCACTAGGTCGTATTGGTCAGCTTCTTCTTAGCAGGTCTCGCGTGCTTATGGTCACTCATGTCCCCAGTGATTTAGACAAAATAAATATTCAGCAATATTTGGAATTTTATTATATATACATAAACCATAAACCATTCACTACACAATGTATAGCACATGGCATTTTACTTATGACTCACGTGTCATGATAATGGGGCT